TCCTCCCTGACCCTTGGCCTGGGTGCACCTCCCCTGGGGTCTCAGGCTAACAATATTTAACACATCCTTAAAATTCCCAAATGTTTTAGATGAGTTTCCTAACGCAGAAAGTCTTACAGCCAACATGATGAAGGTTATTTTAAATGAAACATGATTTTAAGAGGAGAGGGGAACTGACTGTAGAAGTCAAATAGTTGTTACTTAAATGCAACCAATCCTTTCTATATTATTCTGTTTACACACGGGAAATTTAAGTCTACCAGTAATATGTGTTCGTGGGCTTTTAAAAAGGCAAATTTCACAAAGCTGAAAACTATTATGAGTTCAGTGAGCTAGGGAAAATAATTTAAACAGGAAAATGTAAATGACTTCTGGGAATTAAGAACATTTTACTAAACCAGTTGTTCTTAACCCTTTTTAACCCAAGGCACCCCTACATCACGTCTCTGAATTTGGTTGGGTGCTACTCTTCTGATGTCTAACGCCAGGAAGCAGGGCTGTGCAGCATGATGAGAAAAGTCAGATCGGATCTCTAGGGAAATGTCAAGCTGGGGCCTCAGCCTGCCAGGGGTAGCCGCTCATCCCAGTCTGCCACCTCCTCAGTTGAGCAGTGGGGTAGACATCGGTGGACAGAACCTGATATAGGGGCCTAGCCACCCTTCGCCTCTCAGGTAACTGTTCACCCCTTCCTATAAAAAAACCCCTGACCTGAAGGAGGAAGTATCTGGTCAGCAAGGCTCAATCTTGTACTCATATTGCCTCATGCTTGGCTTCTGTCTTTACTGGGTCCCTGACGGAGTCTTTGGCTACCTGGCTTGGCTTGCCTATTGATCCTGAGTTTGGCCTGGCTCTTTGGACTCCTACAGATGTGCAGGAAACCAGCTCTGGCACGCTGGAAATCCAGTGCGTCAGAGCAGATTCGATCAAGCGAGTCTGCTGGAGCTTGGAAATAAACGCTGTCCAGCAGACTCCAGCATCACATGTATCAGTGTCCAAGTGTTGAAAAATGGCGTCAGGGCACTTTGAATTCAAGCTCGTTTGATAAGCTTCGGTTCATAGCACCCCGCCAGCATTTTTCAGTGATGCTTGTGGGCTTTTAATTAGTGCAGTTTTCTAATTAAAGCATCCCTCCCCACACCTAGAGCATGTGTAAAAATCTCCTTTGGCTCCCTAACCTGACTCCAGTTTGATCTCCTAGAAAACTGATTCTGCTGGCCTCCTGACCCTGTGCTGTGCCCAGCCCTCTGGATCTATGACTTGGTTCCCCAGACATCTTCTGGCTTCCTGGCTGCCCTATACTTGGACTCTGCATGCTCCCCTTGGATCTTGGTTGCTTCTTCTGACCCTGGATGACCCCCAGATTTGGCTGCTCATGACCTGGCATGATAGGGAATCCTGCCGGGAGAGGGCTCCCTATGGGCCCCAAGCCCACAACCTCCTCACTCTCAGAGGCCTGGGTTGCCTCCTGGGCAGCTCTATCAGCCCCACTAGTGGAGGGCTGTGCTGGGCTGGGCTGCTGCCTGGAGGAAGAGTCCTCTGGACTATGAGTGCTGTGAATCTTTCCCTTCCCTGTGAATTCCCTGTGAATCCTTCCCTATGCTGCTGAAGGGGACCTCATTCAAAGTGAGCCCTTCCTGGATCCCTCCCTAGGCACTTTCCCTGCCTGGAATGGTCTGTGACCAGCTGGAGCTATGTCCTTCCATGGCAGCACAGAGGAAGCCCCTGGGGGAGCTACTG